AGGTTCCACAGGATGTGTTTCTCTGCCAGACTGGCCTCGGGGTAACCATCTCCGGAGATCTCAGACAGCCATCCCCAAACTTGCAAATCCCAATTCCTGATGCACAAAATACACAGGAACCCTGACAGCCCCAGGCCTTCACCCCTCCCCCAAGCCCACCCCAGGGGACTCTCACCCTTCCGACCCCTCTCTGCCTCAGTGCCTTTGCTCAGACTCTTCCCTCTGCTCCCCTCTCCTCTTCCCTCCAGGCAAATTCTCACTGAACCTCCAAGGCCCAGCTACAAGGTGGGGCTGTCTCCGGCCCTCGGTCTTGTCCCGACTGAACACCTGCCCCCCCTCCCCCGGAACTCTCACTGCATCACAGCCTGCTCCAGCCTGTGTGTCTCCCTTGCTGGACGGCGGGCTCCCTGGAGGCAGCCTCCTGCTCTCTCTTCTCAGAGACACGGGGCCTGGGAGGCAGGAGGTGCCTGAGGCGTCAGCTTCTCATCCTCGAGTTCTTGCCACACCCAGTCCAGCAGGATCGCCATGGAGCACTTCACCTGTGGCTGATGCACCCAAGCGACTGAATTTATTTTATTTTCCGCTTTTAAAACCTAAATTTACAAACCGAAACCATGTGCCACGCTTTCCCAGTAAACACGGTGTATTGTTTTGGTAGGATTACATTTCACTTCAGCCGTTGAAAATTTATTATCTGGATTGAGATGCGTTTTCAGAGCAAAAGGTTTCGAAGACGGAGGGGAAAAAAGAATAAATTCTCTTATAATACTTTTCTATATTTATGGCAAGTCATAATGGTAATATATTGGATTTACTGAGTTAGATAAAATCCATTATTGAAGATAGTCTCATTTTCTGGCTAGAAAATTAAAAGTAACGTAGAGGCTTGCTTCTTATTTCTATTGGACCGTGCGGTTCTCCATGTGAAGGGCGGAGGGGAGGTGCCTGGTAGACGTGGAGCAGGCGGGGCGCTAGGCAGCCTTTGTGAAGTGGGCGGGGCATTTCAGGGGGCTGGAGGCAGCCTGCCAGCTCTCAGCCTGACAAGGGATCCGCAAGGCCCACACCCGAGGCCACATGACCAGGAGCAGGGTCCACAGTGCAGGAGGTGACGACCAGCTGCCGCCACCCGGGAGGCGTTTTCTGTGCTGGGTCTTGCATCCAGAGTGCCACCGACCCCCGGGACCAGGGGCAGAGGACCTGGGACCCGAGCTGAGACACCGTGGCAGGAGGTCCTGTTTGGGGTCCCGGGTACCAGTCTCTGCAAGGCTGCCCCAGGCAGAGGGGGCGAGTCAGCTCCGGCTCTCAGAAGGCTGGGCTGGAACCAGCAGTCGAGGGGACAGGGAGGAACTTTCTAGCAGTCAGCCCTGCCTCGTGGGAAGGAGGGCTCCGCACCAGCAAGGCTGGCCGAGGACGGGGTGATGGGAAGGGGACTTGAGGATGAACTGGGTCCTCAGCGGTCCCCAGGGCCCCGCGGGGTCTCAGGCGGAGCCCCTCCGAGGCGGGCCCAGCCGGGTGAGGGGGTCCTGGGCTTCCTCCGATGCGGTCGGGTCCCTCCCAGGGTTCAGAGCCATCACAGCCTCTGACCGCGCCCGGCTGGGCCCCCTGCACGCGGCCCCAGTGACCTGCCTGCAGGTGAGTCCGTGCAGGAGGGACAGAGACAGGGCCTGGGTCACCTGGGCTTTCCCGGGGTCCATGCTACCCACCCACCGGCTCTGCCCTCCCTGCCCCCCTGCTGCTCCCACCCCAGCTCACAAAGGTGGCCCTGCTCAGCCACACGGAGCCCGTACCAGCTGGTGAGTGACAGTGCTCTGTCCTGGCCCTGCCTCCTCCTGCACCCACACCCTCCGAAGCCGGGCTCCTCACAGCACCGTGTACCCCTGCCCAGGGAGAGGGGCGCCGTGAGGGTAACCCCATCCCTCTCACACGCACACATGCGCAGTGCTCCTCATTGGAGGCAGGGACGGGGCTCCCAGAGCGGCCATGGATGCTGCCGCCGCGCCCAGCCGTCCAGACCCAGCCTCCTGGCCCTCGGCTGTCCTCCCCTGAAACCAGACACAAATGGGTCCAGGCCGCCTGTCACTCCTGGAGCCACTTAAGCAGAGACAGGGCTGAATCGCATAGGAGTGTCTATTCCAGTCCTGCCGGCAGGATGGGGAGCATCGGGCCAAGCCATTTGGCAGCTCTGGGCTCCAGTCCCTTCAGCTGGGACATGGGCATGAGGCCCGGCTTCACGGGACTGGGAGGGCGGCTGGGAAGCCCTGTGCTCGGGGCCCGGCCCTGGAAAGGCCCCTGACACGCACTGGCCACCCTCGCCTCCTCCCTGGGACCATGAGGAGTTGGGTGCTGAGGGAGCCCTGGGGGCACCCCCTCCCCCCTCCTGGCCTCTCTGTCTGGGTCTGGGCCTCTCTCTGCCCTGAACACACCAGCAGCTCTGCTGGCCGCGCGTCCGTGTGGCCAGAGCAGCTCCGGTCCAGGTGTCTCGGGGCAAAGCCTCTGAGCCGGTGGCCTGAGGACTTTGATCAGTGTCTGTGGGCGGTTTCTTCTCGGCTCCTCAGAGTGGGACCTGGGTCTGCCCTCTGCCCCCTGCCCGCCTCCCATGGAGCTGGGCCCACAGGCGGGCCTCCCCCGCCCCAGGCTGCCTGTTTCCGTCCACCTCCCGGGACAGCGTGTTCCTGGCACAAGCACCTCCTGTGCACCAGGCTCCATGCTGGGCCTGGGCCGTGGGGAGGGGCCACCCGGCCACGCCAGCCTGTGCTGCAGGCAGACAGGACGCTGCCCACCCACAGGACACGCTTCCTAGTGCTTGTTGTGCCCCACAAACTGCTCCCCCTTTTCCACAGAGTGACCGAGGCCCCAGCAGCTCATGGCCACTCCGCCTCTTCTCCATGGACGGATGGACAACCATCCACAGGACGCCCAGGGCCCGTGTGTGTGTTAAGTCGGACCTCATTCTTACAAAGGCTGCAGATCAACGTCCGGACTTGCATTGGGGGACTGAGGCCCAGGCGGGCAGTGACTTCTCTCAAGCAGAGGCCTCTGCGGGCCCCAGGGAGCCGCGAGTCCAGCTCTCCAGTCTGGGTCTCGGGTTCTGGGGGAAACGCTCTGGGGAGATGCTGACCCACTAGGAGCCCGTGAGGCAGCCCGGATGGAGCCGGAGCTGGGGGCGGGGAGGGGCAGGTTCTGTCTGCTGCCGGGTCTGGGGGCCGCCAGCCGCTCCTTCTCCTCCTGTTTCCCAGGCGCCTGGGCCTGTGGCTCACTGACCCCATGTGTAAACCCAGCGACCTTTGCCACAGAAACCTTTCCCAGGTAGTCATGCAGGTAGAGAGAAGGACAGAGCACAATAGAGAGGAAGGGAGAGGGAGAGAGAGATAGAAATATCAATGATGAGAATCACTGATTGGCTACCTCCTGCGCGCTCCCTACTGGGGATCGAGCCTGCAACCTGGGCATGTGCCCTTGACCAGAATTGAACCTGGGACCCTTCAGTCTGCAGGCCAACACTCTATCCACTGAGCCAAACCGGCTAGGGCTAAACTGCCTTTGTCTTTCAAGATCTTAAGTTTTTTCAAGTGCCCTGGCCTGGGTGTTAAAGTGGTTAGAACGTTGGCCCTCACACTGAAGGGTCGTGGATTAGATTCCCGGTCAAGGGCAGGTAGGTGGGTTGCGGGTTCGATCCCTGGCCCCAGTCAGGGCACTTGCAGGAGGCAACCAATCCATGTGTCTCTCTCACATTGATGTTTCTCTCCCTTTCTTGCTCTCTCTCTTCCTCTCTCCCCCTCTCCCTTCACCTCTTTCTTAAAATTAATGGAAAAAATATCCTTGGGTGAGGATTAACCAAAAAAAAAAAAAAAAGAAAGAAAGAAAAGAAAAGGGTATAGGTAAGTTATTTAGTAGAATGTCCCTTAACCGTATTTAATCCCTTAAATTATGTTTCCTCATAATTTCACTCAAGTTATGCATCTTCGCCCAGAATTCTACAGAAGTGATGTGCATTGGTTTCCTGTTGCCATTAGAACACATGACCACACACTAAGTGGCTAAGAAAACCACAGGAGCCCTGACCGGTTTGGCTCAGTGGATACAGCGTCGGCCTGTGGACTGAAGGGTCCCAGGTTTGAATCCAGCAAGGGCATGTACCTTGGTTGCCGGCACATCCCCAGTAGGGGGTGTGCAGGAGGCAGCTGATCGATGTTTCTCTCTCATCGATGTTTCTAACTCTCTATCCCTCTCCCTTCCTCTCTGTAAAAACTCAATAAAATATATATTTTTTTTTTAAAAAAAAGAAAACCACAGGTTTCCTGGGTCGCAGTGTGGGCGGTCGCAGTCTGCAGCGGGTTCACTGGGTCACAGTCACAGTGTCCGCGGGGCCGCCTTCCTTCTGGAGCCTTAGGGAGAACCCCCTCCCTGCCTTTTAGAGGCGCCCACATTCCTTGGCTCGTGGCCCCTTCCTCATCTTCAAAGTCAGCTCTGCAGGATCTTTAGACACCTTTGCCTCCCTCTCTACGTATGAGGTAGAAGTACAATTACATGCCCCCGCCCAGGTAATCGAGAATAACCTCCCTATATTTAAGATCCTTAATTTAATCACATCTTTGTCAAAAAGATCTTTGACACATAAGATAACATGTTCCCAGATTCTGAGTGTCAGGATGGGGACATCTTTGGAGGGTCACTCAGTCTTTCACATACGTGTCCTCCTTAGGGGACCATATCTGGAGGCATGTGATGTCCGTCTGTCCCATGATTGTGACTATATAAATGTGACACTTGTTATGGTTGTATTTGCAAGGTTAGCCCCCTGTAACCTATTTTTTACTTTTGTAATTAATAGTCAATGTGAGGGCGATACTCTGAAACCAGGTCAATATCCTGTACCTGCCTCTACTGATGATTATTGGCTAATGCCTTTATTATCGAGAATATTGCAAAGGGATTGCCATTCTCTACGGTGATCACTAAGCACTTAACACAGGGGAGAGCTTTGCCTTCTCCTCCTTGTATTTATGCCTTCATCTCATTTATTGACTCACAGACTCCTCTGGTGCATGGGGGACGCTCAATCCACTGAGCCTCGCCGGCCGGGCTAGACTCTGATTCCATGAACAATCTGTTATTCAAATGATGTGTTTTGGTGCCCACACTGTCCCAGAGTTAGCCAAGCTGGATCCTGAGTCCTTTGGACACGTCCCCGTCATTCCTTCAGCACTTGCTTCCTGCCGTCCCGTGTTCCAGGCTCGCCTTGTGCTTGTCCTGCTCGGCCCGGCAGTCAGTCATTCCCCCAGAGTCTTCCCCTGTTCGCGTGGAATGGTGTTTAGAAACCAAGGTCTTGGTGCTGGGTGTGCTCACTCCTTTTGGGCTTCTAGGCCCTGTCAGAGGACAGAGCTTGGGGATATCAAGAAAACTCAATAAGAGTAACTGACACACAGCAACAGCTGTTTCTCTCTTTGTCCATCTATACCCGCAAGGAAGTGGGGAGCAGATGCGTCATTCCTCGAGAACAAACCTGGGAGGTTATAGACAACAGCCACCGGACGTCAGCAGGAATGTGGAAGCCACAGCACCAGTCTGCAGGAATAAAAGCAGACAGACAGACAGAGAGACACACGCGCGCCCACACACACACACACACACACACACACACACACATACACACACAGTGTCAGCAGGAAGATGAGCCAAACGAAGAGAACCAAACAAAAGCTGAATGAAAGGCAGCCAGCTTAACAACCAGGCCCCTTGTGCCACTAAACTGCGGGGCTCACGTCTAATCCCAATCGGATAAATCCTCAGAAGGTGGGTTCGGACAAGCCACCCTAAAAGCCCCAAACTTTGGCCGCTCTTTAGTCAGGAAAGCTCGAGGGGTTTCCATGGGAATCACAGGAGAAGGCTGGATTTCCCGGATTCTGCTTGTCCGAGGCAAGATGCCTGAAGCTTGGAGTGGAGACACCACCCCCTCCACCAGCCCAACTGCCCGTGGCCACATCAAGTCCAGCAGAGGAAGCTGGACCACGGCCTCCACAGACTCCCTGCCCCTGGACACTAAAGGACCCCACGCCTGGCCTTTTTTTTTTGTAAGCTGAGTGAAGGCACAGAACTCTTTTTAATTTTTAAAATAGATTTCAGAGAGGAAGGGAGACGGAGAGAGATAGAAACATCAATGATGAGAGAGAATCATTGATTGGCTGCCTCCTGTGTGCTCCCTCCTAGGGACTAAGCCCACAACCCAGGCATGTGCCTTGACCGGAATCAAACCCAGGACCCTTCAGTCTGCAGGCTGATGCTCTATCCACTGAGCAAAACGGGCTAGGGCCCATGCCTGGGCTTTGATAAATGCCTGAACTTCTGCACAGGGAAAGACGGTGTGGGAACAGGATGCTAATTTGTTGGGGCGGGAAGGGACCTGGGAAGGTCCATGGGTGGACGAACGGAGCTGGATTTTGAAGGATGGGTTGGACTTTAAAAGATGGACTGAAGCACTCAAGTTCAGGAAACACAGACAGTCCCAATCAAGATGAACCCAAAAAGACTCACACCTGGGCACATCAAAATTAAAATGGCAAACGTTAAAGACGAAGAATCTTACAGGCACCAAGAGAGACAGAAAGTTACCTACAAGGGAGCTCCCATTAGACCGTCAGCTGATTTCTCAATAGAAACACTTCAGGCCAGAAGGGACTGGCATGACGTATACAAAGTAATGAAAAGCAAGGGACCGAATCCAAGACTACTCTAACCAGCAAGGCTATCATTCCAAATTGAAAGTGAAATAAATAGCTTCGCCGACAAAAAATGGCTAAGATAGTTTATCGCCGCCAAACCAAAACTGCAAGAAATGCTAAAGGGACTGTTGTAAGAAGAAATGGGGGGGTGTGGGGGGAAAATACAGGCATAAAGAATAAAAATGGGAACAAATAAGTACCTATCCATAATAACCTGAAATGTAAATGGCTCAAATGCTCCAATAAAAACCCATAGGGTAGCTGAATGGGTAGAAAATGTAACCCATATATAGGCTGTCTATAAAGTCCCACCTCAGAACAAAAGACTCCCACAGGATGAAAGTGAAGGGATGGAAAAAATTTTCCATGCCAATGGAAATGAAAGAAAAAAAACCTGGGGTAGCAATACTCATATCTGACGAAAAAGACTTCAAAATGCATCACCTAGGGCAAGAGAAACAAAGGAAAAACTAAACAAGAGGGAATATACCAAAACAAAAAGCTTCTGCACAGCCAAAGACACCAGCATCAAAATGAAAAGGGAGCCCACTGCATGAGAGAACATATTTGCCACTGATACATCTGCTAAGGGGTTTTCCAAAAATGTAGAAAATACTCATCTAATTCAACAAGTGGTAGACAAACAGTCCAATTAAAAAATGGGTAGAAGACCTGAATAGACACTTCTCCAAAGAGGACATACAAATGGCCAAGAGACACGTGAAAAAATGCCCAACGTCACTAATGATCTCACTCATATGTGGAAGCTAATGAATAAAATAAACTGAACTGATGAACAAAAGAGATCCAGACATCGAAGCAGGCAACAGACTGACGTATTTAGAGGGAAGGGGGAGAGGTTCACCCATTTATGTGCATGTATGCATAGCCCACGGACAGACAAAAGTGGGGGGAGGACCTGGGGAGGAGGTGGGAGCAGGGTGGAGGGGGTCACTGGGGGGAAAAAGGGGACATCTGTAATACTTTCAACAATAGAGATAAATTTAAATAATAAAATCTATAATAATAAAAGGGTAATATGCTAATTAGACCGGACATCATTCCGGATGTCCTTCCGGATGAAGCCGGAGCTGGAGCGAAGCCCGGGTTCCAGGTGCCAGAGGGAAGCCGGTGCCGGCAGCTGTGGCAAGGAAGGCCTACTCTTGCACGAATATTCGTGCATCGGGCCTCTAGTCAAATATACTAGTAAGATGGACACCCTAGATTAACCCACTAAAAAGAAAGTAAACACCCAAGTCAGCTGGAAGAAATCTGAGTAAAATAAAAGCCCAGGACTCCGGGTGCACACCTGTTTGCCTCAAGTCCCTCCTTACCCGGAATACAGTCCCCAAATAAAAGGGCGGAGCTGCAAGAAGTGACAAGCCTACAACAGCAACAACACAGGAGGTGACAGCCCTGACCAGGTAGATCAGTTGGCTGAGAGCATCATCTGGGTAGGACGAGGTTGTGGGTTCAATCACCGGCCAGAGCACACACAGGAATCAACCAATGAATGCATAAATGGGGTGGAACAACAAAATGATCTCTCTCTCTGTCTTCCCCTTCCTCTCTCTAAAATCAACCAATAAAAAATGAATAAAAAGAAAGGAGGTAGGTTGGGCCAGGCCTCAGCACGAGGCACCTCTCAGGGACAGACCCTATGGACTGTGACCCTACTGCACCGCACAGGAGCCAGGCCCAGGCGTGGGGCCTTACGTGAACTCTTCCTTAACCCTCACTCAACCGCTGAGACACAAAGCCGCCCACACCGCTCACCTCTGGGCCACGGCGAGCGCGGACTCCACGGGCAGCGTACAGGGCAGCATCACGTAAGACATGGCCTTCACCGGTAGGAACCTGCAGATCTTGCTCCAGCAGCCACCTCGGGGTCTAAGTGCCTCACTCAGGCCTGAAAGATACCATTGGGGGGAGGGGCGTCCCCCAGTGTAACCTCACCCGGGTGCTGCCTGCAATTCCAGTGAAACACACAAATCCTGCTGCCAAAGAATCAGAAGCCGGGCCCATGCCATGGAGCGGGGAGTGCGGCCAGAACAGCCCTGGGACAGCCACAGGCCCCGGATCAACGGTCCCACTGGCAGCTCTCCCGGAGGAGACACGAACCCCCAACCCCACCCGCCTTACGGGCTTTCCCAACACCCCCTCTTCTGCCTGGAGCCCTGGCTTCTGTTTCCCCTTCGTCGTGGCCTCAGGACCCTCAAATCGTAGCAACCTGGGCACCAGCGTCGTGTTTATCTTTGAATTTCTCCCAGTGCCCGAATGCATCTGGTGTGCACTCCTGGCCCATCTGGTGTCTGACGACATGATCAAATGCACTACCGTCGCTCAAGGACAAGTTCAAAGCTGAGGGTTCGGGGAAGGGGGAGGCAGACAGGCTCCTCCAGAAAGAAGGCGTGGAGATGGGGGCCCAGGCAGAGAATGGTGTTCTGGAAGAAGGGGCCCACCCTCGGGGCCCCCAAATCCGGTGTGCCCGGACCCAGGAACTGGGCGCATGCCCGCTTAACACAACGGGCTCACCGGGAGTGTGGCTTTTTCTGGCCGTGCACACGGGGAAGGGAGGCTGAGCAAGGCGCCTGCGTGGGGAGATGGTGCCAGGAGGTGGGGCCTCATCTCCTCCCCGTGGCAGCATCACCCTCCTCCCCAACCCGCCAGAGAAGCCCCCTTAGTCTCAGCAGCAGAAAGCAACGCCCTGCTGTCCCGCCAGAGGGTCTCACCTGCAATGAGCGTGGGCGGCAGTGTCTCCAGGACGCTCTCGTCCCAGGGCAGGAGGCTGACACGCAGGTGGGCCAGCAGCTCGGCCACCTCGGGCCTCCTCTGCCAGGCAGCCGCCCCCGGGGAAGCCTCGGGGCTCGCGGTTTCCCAGGAGAACGGAAGGAACTCGGGCGCTGCCGAGGGCACACTCGGGCTCGGACGGGGCCTGTCACAGATGCCTACGCGGGGCACGGAGACAGGGGGCATGACTCACACACCCACCCACCCTGACAGGGAGGCCAGCAGCCACCAGACATCCAGAGGGGCCTTCCCCGCTCCCCTCTGACCTCCCTCCCTCCTGCTTCAGCAGCCCTCCGTGGCTCCCTACTGCTGCCGTGCAAGCTTCACCACGTGCACGGGGCCCAGCTTGCGCCTCTCCTCTGTCCATCTCTCAGCCACTGCAGTTACACAGGCCTTCTTCCCCTCCTATCCATCTCCAAAGTGGAGTCACCTCCTCCTGGAAGCCCTCCTTTCCCCCAGGCCTTGCAGCTCCCTCCTGTGTGACCCCGTAGCATCCCCACACCCTGTCACGCCCTCTGCATGTCATCCCTCCACACGTCATCCATCCACACAGTGAGCTCCGGGTGGCAGTGCCCCCGCACTCAGCCACGTGCGTGGACCTGGAAGGGACACAATGGGCACTTCCTGAGTGGGTAACACGTGCAGGTCCTGGTGACCAGGCGGTCTCCTTGGTCTCGGCCTCAGAGTAATGGACGCGGTCAATACAGGAGCCAACGTTTAGCATCGAAGAAAAGCAGCTCCGAACACATCTAACGGTGGGCTCCACGCTAATGTTTCAGGAGCCCGACTCCTCACCGAGTGACGTCACAGACTCTGGGGCTTACCGAGGCGGCTAACAAACAGCGGAGGAAAAGGGCTCATCTGGCTCGGCCAGTGTGGCTCAGTGGACGAGCCTCAACCCATGAACCCGGAGAGCACGGTTCTGTTCCCGGCCAGCGCACTGCCCGAATTGCGGATTCTCCCTCCCTCTCCCTTCCTCTCTCTGAAACCAATAAAACCATATGTATTTTTTCTTTTCTTTTTAATTTTTTTTTTTTTAAAGAAAAGGGCTCGTCTGCTCCCCAGCTCATACGTACCTTTTTCTTCCAGGAACCTGACGGCATCCAAGTACCCTCGCAGGCATATCTCTAGAAGCACCTGTAAGCCAGGCAAGTAAGTGAACTACCGGGCCGAATCGCCAAGCCTCATTCATTTAAACTGAAGACTCCTTCAAACTCTGAGCTGCCTCCATGGGCTGGGCATGGCCGGACAAGGCACTGGGCAGGAACGACACCCCTCCATGGGGCCTTTGCTGTCACCCAGCATGACAGGCTTGTCCTGGTCCTCGGGGGACAGTTACAGCTGCCTCCCCCGCTCTGTGCACAAACTACCCACACCAACCAGCTGGTGCACGGCCTTGCCTCCAGGGGGAGCCCTTGCGGGCTGCTCACTGTCCTGCCCACTTCCCTGCAGCCTCCTGGGCCCCCCATCCCTGTTAGGGCCCATGTCCACACATCCCCTTACTGTTGGGGTGGGGAGGCATACTACAGCCACCACAGTGCTGCGTGGTTCGTGACTGTGGCCACGAATAAGATCATGTGGGTAACTCGACACATCCTACTGCCCAGGCTGCACCCACAGTCTGTCCAGGATCTGTGGGGGACTGGTCCAGGGCTCCTCTCAGGTACCGACATTCATGGATGCTCTAGTCCCTCACGTAAATGGTGTAGGGTTTGCACACAGGCTACAGCAGGCACCCCTACACTCCACGTCACTCCGTGGATTCAGGGTAGGGTGCGGCGAGGGGCAAATTCAAGTTTTGCATTTTGGGACTTTCTGGAATACACACACACACACACACACACTTAAGCAACTAAACGACCGGTCACTATGATGCACACTGACCACCAAGGGGCAGACGCTTAATGCAGGAGCTGCCCCCTGGTGGTCAGTGCGCTCCCACAGCAGGAGCGTCCTCAGCTGACCAACCCGTCCCGGCGGCCCACCACGCTCCCTCAGTCTTCCTGCAGGTCCAATCTCCGGAGAACGGGCCAGGCACTGACAGACCACTCCGCTGGCAAGATCCCCAACAGCACCACCGGCCTCCTGGAAGTCGGCCTCAGGCGCCATGGCCGCTTCCCCTCCCTAGATGCTCAGCAAGGATGAAACAATATAAAAGCGGCCACCAGGTGGCTCCCAACAAGTGGTATGAATGTCAGGGGGATGGATCCTGATCCCCGGCCAGCAAGCACGACCCACCGCCTGCCTGGAGGGCTGATCACATCCCAGGCCGCCCCCCCTTGGGTGGGCACCAGATGCAGGGCTCACGGTTAGTGAGCACTGCTGGGCGGTGCGAGCCTCTCCCGATCGTGACTGACAGGGTGTGAGCCTGTGGCAGGTGCAGTAGGGCTGGGATGAGCAGGCGTGGCAGGTGGTGTTGGACTGCTGGTTTTGGCCCAATCCCCACAGGCCACCCCGAGGGACCCCACCTGTGCACGAATTTGTGCACCAGGCCTCTAGTCCTATATAATAAAACCCTAATATGCAAATTGACCAAACGGCGGAACAACCGGTCGCTATGATGTGCACTGACCACCAGGGGGCAGACGCTCAATGCAGGAGCTGCCCCCTGGTGGTCAGTGTGCTCCCCCTGTGGGCTCATGGCCAGAAGCTGGGCTCACGGCTGGCCAGCGCAGCAGTAGTGGCGGTAGCCTCTCCTGCCTCTGCTGCTGTGCTAAGGACCCCTCGGGGGATTTCCAACTGCTGACTTAGGTCCGATGACATCTCCTGAGGGGTCCCAGACTGTGAGAGGGTGATGGCTGGGCTGAGGGCACCCCCGCCCAGTGCACGAATGTCATGCACCAGGCCTCTAGTATATATACTGGTATATCTACACTAATAAAAGACAAACATGCAAATTGACCGTACCTTTGCTATGCCTTAAGCCATGCCCACCAGCCAATCAGAGCAACTATATGCAAATTAACCCAACCAAGATGGCGGCTGGCAGCCATGGAGCTGGAGCAAGCATTGAGCGTCTGCCCCCTGGTGGTCAGTGTGTGTCATAGTGACCAGTCATTCCCAGTCGTTCTGCTGTTAGGGTCAATTTGCATATTACTCTTTTATTATATAGGATAGGATAGAGGCCTGGTGCATGGGTGGGGGCCAGCTGGTTTGCCCTGAAGGGTGTTCCAGATCAGGGTGGGGGTCCCGCTGGGATCTGTCCTACCAGGGCTGCAGGACAGATCCCCGGCCTCGCTCTGAGTGCTGGATGCACCCAATTGATGTGTCTCTCTCACAAGGATGGTTCTTGTTTACCTCGCCAGGCAAACAAGAGCACAGAGCTGCACCCCCAGAACAAACAGCCCCACTCACCTTGACATCCGGTGGGAACAGGCTTTGGTTGATCAGGTAGACGTTCTCCAAACAGAAGCGGAGACTGAGCCTGTACACGTCCATATGCAGGAAGTTCGTGGACTTGACCTTAGGACAGATGTCATGCTCCCCAAGGAAGGGCGACACGGTGATGGTCGTCTTGTCATCAAAGGAGGGTATAATGTCACTAAACCCTCCATCCACGTACCGCTTGTGAGGGAGAGAGAAACACATCCGGTCAGAGGCTCTGGCAGGGTCCGTGGTGCTCAGATTATGGGCAGAGGCTATGGGGGGAGGACGGGCTTGGGGAGCCTCTGTCAACACCTGCGGCTGGGCAGGCGGGTTCGGTACAATGTGGAGAGTCTGCACCTGTCAAACCAGTGTCCCCTACTGTGACATCCTCAACTGTC